GGTAACTTATTAAACTCACAAACCTTACTACACTTTCTAGGAGCAATAAAGACATCTTAATTCAGACTATAAAAACAAGAATTCATGTAATCTAAGGAAAAAAAACCCATTCAACCATGCAAGAGACTTCAGTAGCATCATTTATGGGAAGGAGTAGCTCCTTACAGAATAATTCTTACAGAATAATACATTGAAAAAAAATCTGTAATTAGCACTACCCTAGGAAGAGACATAGGTAATTTAAAGTTTGTGATTAGCTAATAGTATCAACAAGTAAAAAGACATTATTTTCAAGTACTTTGAAATAACTTCATCAGCAGAATTTATTTTCAATTAACATGTCAATTAAAAGTATTCTTATTTTCTCATTGAATGAGTAAAATGCACCTGTCATGGGCACTAAAAAATAATAAAACTGCACTTCAATGTGTTGGTCTACCGTTAAAACTATCTTATAGTTTAAAAAAACGACTCCCTTCCTTTTTGGAGCAATGGCATAATGACTTGTTTGGATATAATGTACCACTCCATTGCTTTTGGTCTTTCCTCTTAAGAGGGGGGAGGGGAGCAGCCCTTGGGAACCTGAATAGAGCTTTACTGAGAAGTGAAGGATGCAGGAGGGATAGCCAGGGTTCAGGTTTGGGTTCTTGATGTGAGTCATGCCCCGCCCCCCGCGCCCCCCCTCCCGTGCGATGGCCACGCATAGGGCACTTCTCTGGAAGAGAAGGCAGCTTTTTGAAAAATTGAATGCACGATGCAGCCATTCCACTTAGAGGTCTTCACCCAAGGAAAATGAAAGTGTGCGACCACACACCAGGACTTGCACATGCACGTTCATAGCACTTGTGTACATGATAGCCAAAAACTAGAAACAGCCCAAGTGCCCATCGGCACATGAACGTGGCAGATCCATAAAACGGAACACCCATTGGCAACAGAAAGGAACAAGTTATTGACTGGCACAAGGCTTGGTGAATGTCAAAACAGTCCTATGGGCTGTGGAGAGCACTTTGCTGACAAGATGAGTACTCACTGCGTGACTCCACTCACATAGAAAATATAGGCTAATCTGCAGTACAGCAGCAGATCGGGTTGCTTAGGGAAGTTACTACCAAAGGCACAAAGGATACTCTGGAGGAGAAAGACATAGCCACTATCTTGATTTTGGTGGTGGTTTCACAGATGTGTCAGAAACCATCCATATGTCATGCAAGTGACTCACATGTCAAAACTCATCAGATGATGCATTTGAAATACAAGTCATTCATTGTACATCAATTATACCCCAACGAAGCTATTTTTAAAGAAAAAAGCTAAAAGAAAAAAAAAAGGAGATGCATTTGCAGAGACAGTCAGGACAAGCTAAACTTGGAGGACTACGCTCCCTGGAGGAGGGAACATTCATGAAAAACCATGGAGAAAAGAGGTGAGATGACATCATCTAGAAAAAGAAGGACTCTGAGGCCTTCCCTGGAGGTGCAAGGGTCCCTCAAACAGAGAAAGCCTCGAGTAGGCATGAACTGAGGTCCTGGGCATGCAGAAGAAAACAGAAACCAGCTGCTTCTTGAAGAAGCTCCTGGTTTCCCTCAGGATGGTCCTGCCACTCAGGAGAGGAGGAAGAGGCCAGCAGGCAGGAGTTCATCATGAGTGCAAACTTACAGGAGCAGGCCTCCTACGTGACATTCAAGGACTACTACCAGGAATGGCTCTCCCCTCTACATGGCTTTGAGTTTACCAAGTACTCACATACCAGAGGGTCAGGGCCAGACCAGGTGGAGGGCCGGCAGGGCTGCCCAGGGACGGCAGTCTTGGTTATGGGTAGGTGCTTCACACTCCCCCAGTTGTGGAGCACCTGTAGGCACAGGGGACAGGGCTGTGGAAAAGAAAACTTGCTGCCAGGCTTGCTGCCAGGCAGCCCTGTCACAGCAGTGTCCTGGCAATCAGTATGTGCCCTTCAGGGCTTCTCAGGGTTGCTCAGTGCTCCTTCTCCAGAGCATAAAGCATCACAAGGCTTGTGCCCTCCCAGGGCACCAAGGGAGGGGTGGCTCCCTTTACAGAGCAAAGGTCTGAAATCCCTCCTAAACATAGCTTGTTTAGAATCTGCCCCTAAATCTTCCCTAGATCAAGGACAGCTGATGGTCAGCACAGTTCCCGCACCTCAGGACCTAAGTCTTCCTGAGGCACATCCCTGAGCTGAGAGGAGGGAGGAGCACTCTGCCAGAAGAGAACCAAGTAGTGAGATTGGGTTGTTTCGGTTTCCTTCTGTCCTTAGTAGCAAGGATGTTAAAGACAGAGAGCGTCTTCAGGAAATCTTTTAGGTTATGGCAAAAGGGGGGGGGGCACTGCTTCCTTTCCTTTCAATTATTTTAAGCATTAAAAGACGGGGGACACTACCCCAGAGTCAGGCCCCACAAAAGACAAAACCTCTTTCTTAGGGGTGGGACCAGGAAAGGGCAGAGGTGAATGGGGTAGGGGTAGGGCTGGGGCTAGGAGGGAGGACAGGTGTGAGGCTGGGGTGGAGTAGAAGTAGGGTTAGGGTGAGTGGAGGAGGGCAGGGTTGGGGCAGGAGGAAGACAGAGGTGGGACCAGGGTGCAGCTGGGGTAGGGCCTGGTGCTCTGTTTCTGGGAGGATGGTCAGAAGGCCTCCACAGCAAGAGAGAGCTGAGTCTGAGATAATCAGAGGAACTGGGTGCTTGAGTTCTGGCAGAGGTAAAAGCCCTGAGACAGTATAAGCTTCTAGGTGAAGAGAACCCTGGATCCACCTGCTCCTGCTGGTAAGCATGGGATCCCCAACACATTAAGGAAAAATATTCTTTGAACCCCTTCAAGACACAGCTCCTCTTCTACATATCCCTGTGCTAGTCCCAGGATCCTGTCCTCATGCTCACAAGGTCTCCCACTTACAAAGGCAGCACTGAACAGGACTTCACTGAAGTGTTTTTAAAGCGAATGATAGAAACCCATAGTAAAAATAAACTTTGTTATATTATAACCTAGTGCATATGCAAACAGAAACAAGTTTTCAAATCACCAAGCTTCCTGTGACTACTTCCAATACAGTTCACTCTATATTACGGAAATGCTAAGGTGACTTTGCAGATAACTTAGTAATTTTATTCAAATGCAAATCAAAACATGAAAAAATTTAAATATTAATTTCCTGTTTTCCTATACAAATACTTTAAAATAGTGGAATCTAAATTTATGTGCTCATGGAGAAAATGCCTAGGGGGACATGTTCAGGAGACCTGGGGGGTAGGTGGGGAAATAGTTTGGGAGGAATCCTAACAGAAACATTGCTTACTAGGGGAGGAGACACCTTTGGTTTCAAAGATGGCGCAATAATTGTCACAATGTTCACAAAAACAAGAAGAGAAAGCAGGACCACCATGCTTTGGGAGGGACTGTTTGGACTGCTCTTAAGTGTCAGGTTGGAGGCATTTCTATCTCCCCACAATAGAGCTTGAGCCACACATGGACTGCAATGTGGCTGGGACCCACACCTGGCATACTGGATGGACACATGCTGCTCAATACATTCTGCCTCATAACTTTTGAGTAAGAGCTCATTGTTACCATCAAACCCTAACTTTGCATGTAGGCCCAATTTTTAAATTTCTCCAAATGCAAGTGTCTGTGTGATAACAACCTTTTGCTAATCTTCAAGTCATTGGTCAAATACATGGAGTTTAATGAGGTATATTCCTCAAAACACTAAGAAAAAAGGATGGTTTCCATTAAAGGGTACAAGAAACAGTATTGGCTGTAATGGAAAGTTTCCATGTCTGTTAGCTGCCAGGGTAAACTCTAAAACCAGCTGGAATTAAAATGAGTGTGTTAATGTAATAGGTAGTTTCTCAAGGGATGTGAGCCAGTGGGCTGATCTGTCAGCCAAGGGCTCTTTAATAGAAATGGTGCCAATTTTTCTGGGAAACAAAAGTTCCATGCTCACCCCTGAGGTCAGAAGAGCTTGCACCCAATTTCCCGTAGCCCCAGGGTCCCGGAGAGAGAAATCACACCTGCAGGCAAGCATTTCCCATACTGCCACACTGCCACCACGCACAAAATAGCGCTTTTAAACTGTGCCCTTCGGCCCTATTTAAGGGCATCATTAAGGATTTCAAACTCCAACTATTGCTTTATCTCACAATAGTGAGAAATGGGAGAGCTACATTCATTATGTTTTTAAGTCATTTAACTGCAGTCCTCTCTAGGGCAAAGGAAATGCCGCGAAGAGAGGGAACCTGCGGACTTAGGAGGCAGCCGTTCTCCCCTACCGCGGCTGCTTTCCTGAATGGAGGCAGTAGCCTCCGGGAAGGAGCAGTTAAGTGATTCCTTTATCAAAACCAGGAGGGACTCACCGCAGAGGCGAAGGAAGCGAGAACCCCTCCCGCATCCAGGCAGTTCAATTCACCCCGTCGCCCCACCCCCTACCCCATCCCTGGCCCACTACAGCTCGGGTTTCAGAAGGGAAGAAAGTCTGGAGGAGGGTGGTCAACCTTCCAAACGCAGGCCCCTCGGCATAAGCGAGAAGGAGGTGTGGGCTGGGGACTACGTGCGTGCGCACAGGGACAGCCCAGCCACGGAAGAGACAGCAGTGGCCAGGAGGGAGACCCACCACGATCGACAAAGCCTCAACTAGTACGATTTGAAAAACCCCCGCAGGCACTGGCTTCGGTGCCAAAACCTCCCTAGATTTATTTTCAGGCAAGTGACTCACAGCCTCCTCTCCATAAGTAATTCCATAAAAACGAGTCGCCGGTTCCACTAGCCCGACTTTCCGCTGCCCTCTGGCTGCCCCTCCCTCCTCTCCGCCCATCCTGCAAACCAGACAGCGCCCAGACAGAACAGTGGTACCCCAGGGGAGCAGAAAACAGGCTCCCGGCCCCGCCCCCGCCTCCCGAGTGATGAATGGGGCGCGGGCGGGCGCGAGCCCGAGAAAGGGAGTGCGGGGTGTGTACGCGTGTGTGCGCGCGTGGGCACGCACCCGGCCAACTTACGGAGGTGGAGTTGGTCCTCGCTTGGCCCTGGTTTCGCACCTCCTGCTCCCGGAACTGCAGCCCGGCCAGATGCTTCTCTAGCGCCTCCCAGTCCATTGGGGGCACCGGGGGCTCTTCGGGGACGAAAGTCCCGCCGTCCGGGGGCTGAAGACAGGGCCCCCCTGCCACCGGGCCCCTGCCGCCGCGCCGGCCCTCCGCCGGCTGGGGCTTCTGGATCGCCCGCCCGGGGCCCCGGGGGCCGCTCTGCCGGCCGGCCACAACCACATTGCCATTGTGCCTGAGGTCCTGGGGTTCGTAGGGGCGGAGGTTGCCGTTGGGCATTGGGAGCGGCGTGACAGTGGTGACGCTCCGGGCCCCGCCGCTGCCGCTATGGGTCCTGGCGCTCAGGTCCCCGGACTCCCGGGCCGGACAGCGGTCATCCTGGTACCCTCGCTCGTCTTCCTCTTCCTCCTCCTCACGGTCCTCCTCCGGCGCCCACTCATCAATCACCTTCTGGTAGACCGGGAAGGGCGCTTCATAGTCCTCTAGGGCAGATACCAGGTCCAGGCTGCCCCCCGGCGACGACGAGGATTTGCACTCCGAGCAAGGGGTCACTTTGGTGGAGTTGGACTGCGAACTGGAGCGGCTGCTGCTGCTGCTGCCGGCGTCACTGCCTAGATCCATCCCATCCTCTCGGTAGTCCTGGGGGAGGAGGCAGAGAGAGTGAATCGCCGGGCCGAGCTGCTCAGCCGCCGCGCCGGTCGCAAGCCCCCCACGCCCCGGGCCAAGGAGCCCGAGGAGGCCTGGGGGCAAGGGCAGTCCCGGGCCCGAGGTTCCCCTTCGCCCTCCTCCCCCGCACGACCAGACTTCCTGCGGTTAACTAACCCTCAGATTCGCACAGAGGTGCCCGGTCGCCAGCGCGCACATTTCATGCGAGGAGCCCCGGGGCGCGCGCGGACTTTGTTTTAACCATTTTGCGTCGGGCGCGCCCCTGCACCCCGCCCCGGGGATTCTCCAAGAACCGGACGCTTCCCACAGTATTCAAATTCCCTGGGGGCGGGAGCCGAGAAGGGGGAGGGCGCCCACTAATTTCGCACCTCGCAGGGCGGTGAGACCACCCCCACCCCGCCCCGCCCCGCCCCTTCCCCGCCCGCCGCCGCCAGCCGCGGCAGCCAAGGGCTGACTGCACTTTCTAAGCGGCGGCGGGCGGCGACAAGGAAGCCGCCGCCCGCCCCTCCTCCCGCTAACACAGGGTCGGGACCGGCGAGCTCTGCCGGAGCGGGGCAGCTTGGCCTGCGCTCCCCGAGGTGCGCCTGCCCAGGCGCGGCTCAATCGCGGCGGCTGCGCCGGTCCCGACACCGAGCATGCCCAGAGCCACCAGCGCGCGGTCGGCTCCCGCGTCCTCAGCGGCCGGCTGGAGCCAGAGGCCTGGGGCAGTCGGAGGAGCCCGGGCTCGGGCGCTGGGGGCGCAGGCCTCCCGCTGGTGAAGGCGGCGCCCGAGGGTGCCCTGTGCCCACCCTCCTGCTCGCGCTCCTGGCCTCCTTGCGGCGCTAGCCACCCAGCCCGGGCCTCCTGGCGCCGCCTAGTCCACGCGGAAGTCCCCGAGTGACCTGGGGGAGGCCCTCCCTCCCCACGCACGCAGATTCACGAGCCCGTGCGGAACACGAGTGACGCGTGCTCGCCGGCCCGGCACCGGCGTCCCCTCCACCCTCCTCCCGCTTCCTGTCCCCACGCCGCCCAGCTCCTGGCCTCACAGCCACGTCCCCTCCTGAGCCCAGGCTGCGGTGAAACCTGTTGCTGTGGCTCACGTTTCTATCCCCTCCTGCCGCCGCTGAAAAGGCTCAGCGAGGCGTGCCTGTGGGAAGCCAGGGGTAAGTGTTAGAAGGGTAAGTGGCTTGGTGGTGGGGGCCGCGGTGGGTTTGGGGGCATCCAGAGACTCTCATCCCACCTCCTGGCAAAGAAGACCCGAAGGAAGGGCTAGGCTGTGTCCTGTGAGGTGCGCCTACAACATTTGATGGCTTTGCTTTCTTCAATTTCTCTGGAATCCAAGAAACCTGTGCTGGATTTTTCAAATATGCACGGGTGGCCTCAGGTTGGCAGCTCTTTTTAGGAGGGAGCGTTCTTGGAGTGAAAGGTACCAGCAGTTGGAAAACTTAGCTGTTCACAGAATGCCTTTTAAGGGCTAAGAATTTCCTGTGAAGGAACCGTCCGCCTGCAAGAACTGGAAACTAGGAAATGCCCTCCTCCCTGTGGTGATAATGAAAAAGAGCACTTAGCCCTACCACAGATTGGGAAAATCAGCCCCTGGACTTCCAGATTCAGGCTGTTACTAATTATTCCAGTGAATTCTGTCCAGCCTGGCATAGTGCAGATGGGGGACAGGGGATGCCTGGGATTCTTTAGCAGGGAGAGGCTGCCACCCTTACCATTCTTCTGTGCCCTTCTGGGGACTGAATATAGCAGGACTGCTTCCACTTAGGTAGTCCTGAGCTCAGAGCCTGAAAATTCAAGCTGTCCTTGTAGCTTGTCTAGAAGGAACAGTGGTAACAGGAAAAGGGGCTCTCTGGTCTGACCAGCTCATCTGTGAAAAAACAGCTGATTGTAACTTAAAATATACTTTATGCCAACATCTGTAAACAACCTGCCTTTATAATCCAAATATGGTTTGATTTCAGGGTTGCTGCAGAGCCCCAGCTGCCTGCTTGGGTGTGGAGGTGGCCCTGAGAATGTTTAAAGAGCTGGGAACTAGAGAACTGCTCTTCCGTGCCCCTTTATGACCTCACAAGGCTTAGGTCAGGAAAAGTGTCTGCTCTGTGGCAGGACACAGGGAGACCAGTAAGCATTGGTGGACTGGGGTGACAGGGAGATTCCATTTTTATGCCTTAGGCCTCCCCATCTCCCACCCACTCTCCCTCCTGGGCACCTGCTTACTCCCCTGCCATCCAGATGGTCCATGTTGTGTTCGGGAAATGCAAAATAAGGCCTAAGAAAAACATTTGGCAAGGTAAATTCACTGCCAAAAAAGCATGGTATTTCAAAGCCAAATATAAATGTCTTTGAATTATCTGTATTTTCATATTATTATTTGACCAGATATTCCAGATCAGATGGGAAAGTACCCAGTTTCCCTTTCCTCTTCTCTTCATGCAAGGTGCTTGGCCAGACTACTTTCCATTCTGTTTCCAGCTTTCCATCTCCTGCCAAGAACCCACCCACTTGGGAACAGGAAGCCCTGCTAGCTCCTAGGCCCACTACAGTCTACAGCTCTGTCCAGCAGGATGGAGAGATGATTTGCAAAGTGATTGAAAGGAACATTTTCTCAAGTTAAAAGTTGAACGTCATAGGTACCAGTCAAGTGGGAGTCACCCCAGAGCCCTCTTGTTCCTGAACCTTCCCCATCCATCACCAGGTACAGGGTCCCTCTTGAATATCCACTAGCCCCTGCCCATTCTCATGCAGCCAGAGTGGCCTTTCTAACAATGCAAATCTGCTTTCTTCTCTCCCTTGCTCCATTAAAACCCCACAGAGCTCCTTCAGGGAACTGATGCCCACCACTGCCTCCAACTTCCTTTGGCAAATTTTAACTCAGCCAAAAAGTCTCAATGTAAATGTCACTTCCTATTGGGCAGCTCCTCTGATTCTTGCCACCCCCTGGGTGATTGCTGGTCCAGTCCACTAGACTCAGGCCACTCATATATATAAAAATACATGTATCTGAAAAAAAGTTTTATGAAAATCTTATATCATAAAATCTTATTCTAATGTATTTAGAACAGAATCTAGTCATACCTCACCCTGGGGCTTTCTAACCCTTTGTGGGTCAGGGTTGTTAGGGTAAAAGATGCTCTGATTTCCACAAGGGCAGGGCTATGGTGTTTGTTGCTGAGTTTATGAACAACATTATCTAACTCATTTAATTCTCAAAAATCCCATGAGGAAGCCATTATTGTCTCCATCTACAGGTGAGAAGGTCAAGGACAGTGAGGTCAAGTCACTTGCCAAAGTCAAAATGCTAGAACAGTAGGTGGTGGAGCCAGTTCTAGAAGTTGGACAGTCACTCAGCGATGTGCTTCAGGTCCCTGGCCCTGCTGCATACAGAATTTTTCCAAGCAAAGATGTTAGGAGGCAACACCTCAGACTAGGTCTCAGCCTCCTGCCCTCCAATCTTGGGCATCTTACACCTGCAGAGAAGAAGCACTGAGGGCACCTTCCTCCTCAGCCCCACTGTGTTCCATCTCCTCCAGGGCCACCTAGCTCAGCAAGAGTCAGCAGAGAGTTGATCGTGTCCAGGAAGGCCCTAGAACTCCAAAGATGAAATCTCACATTGGATGAACTCTGCATTAAGTAAATCCTATAAGAAGGAAGCCACAGTGAGTATGGGTCTTCAATAGGAAACCATCCAGACTCATCCTGAAAGAGTAGAGACAAGATGACATTCCTCAGGATCAGTGTTGTTGATAGGATTTTAAATGTGTACATCAGAGGAGTTTGAAAAGGTAGGAATAGATCTATTTGCAAAATTCCCAAACTAATTTTGAAATCATCAGCCTTGACTCTGAGCTTCCCTGTGCTGTGGCATTTAGAGTAAAAAGATAAGGCTGGCAGAGGGCTTGCGTCTCATCTTTATTGCATGAACTGCATGCAGGTCATGCCACATGCAGATGCTGTGTGAGAGTGACTGGAGTGAACTGTATATAGGATGTCTGGAATCCATCCCCCATCTCTGACCCAGCCTAGGACCACAGCTTCCCATGAAAGGGGCATGACTACTTGGCCATGGTGTTTGGCAGATAGAATCAATCGGATGCCCTAATGGATGAAACTAGAAAATACAGCATAAAAATGGCCCTGAATAATCTTTTCATCATCATCCTTATTGAAAGGCACAGTGTATCCCTCTGCTCACTCAAACCAGGGTCTTCCTGTTAGCTACCTGCAACATTTCTTCTTTAATTCTGCAGATACTGTGGCTTGATCTTCACTATATGTGTAGATATTTTCAAGATGGAACCTAAGTAGTGTGGTTTTCTTCTTTCTTTCATTTGGACAGAGCTGTACTTACATAGAGAAAATTCCCTTTAAAACACATACACACCTTAAAGGTTTTGGTTCTGTAGCAAACTGTGAGATTGTATTTATTTCCTATGTTTTCCTCAATAAAACCAAAATGGTACTTACGAGATGGCTCCAGTAATCTCTTTCCCAGACCTGAAACCAGGATGCCTGGCTAGAGGAACATTCCCCCACTGAGGGAACTCACTAATAATGTGTTTGAGACCAGGATACCCTCCCCTGCAGGTGCTGGGATGAGCAGCCCCTTGTGCAGCAGAGAAGTCAGTGCTGAGTGGGGCCTCAGCATAGGGCTACCCAGACCTAGCCTCCGCTGTGAACTACTCAACAGGACCTGCTTGACGGGACCACCTGGCACCATCCCCATGGCTGGCGATTTCTGTGCATTGTGTGGTATGCACAGGGCTCCACCAGGAAGGAACCTCCTGTTCTTTTCTTAGCAGAATCATTCCTCAGATTGGATGACAGTGACAAAACTTCAACAACACAAATGCCCTGTCTCTTCTTCCAGAAGTTTTCTGCCATCACCTTGTGCTTTCCTGAAGTTTCTAGCAGATCTTGAAAAAGCAAATGTGTAAGCACCCCTAGTTACTTTTGGAGCTTTGTTGATGGGTATAGATTACATAAAAGGGCTTATTTAGGAGGAGCTGGGGAGCTCAAGGGTGGGTGTGTTCACTGCAGGAACGTAGAAAAGTATCCGGAGAAGTAGCACAAAGCCCACATGCACAAGACCCCAGTAAAGATGAGCCACCTTGTAAATCCTGGGCCTTGTGCTCCTGTGTATTGTGCTTCTTAAGAAGCACATCTTGCAAGTTGCTTTACAAAATGAGCAACTACAAAGTGAGAACTCTTCTGGTCCCTTCTTAACATCACTTTGGAAGTGTAATGAAATGGGAAATAGTTGCTGGTCGTGTCGCATGGTGCCATGGGAAAGATGGAGGCAGTATGGAGGGAGAGACGGTCCTCTCAAGAGATTTGGCCTGCAGTCAGGGCCACTGGC